TTCAGTTTGGCGATGGTGTCTGAGATCTTTTTACCTTTGTCGGGCAATTTGCAAATGAATTTTTCGTTGCGCAAAAGTCTCTCCTGGCGCCTCAACCTCTCCCGCAGCTCCGCCGAACTCCGCTGCCCCAAGTCCTCGGGAGCTGGGGGCTCGAAGCCGCGGGGCAGCGAGAACAGGCTGGCGCGGCGGGCAGGGTTCCGCGGCGGGGCCCACAGCGGGCGCAGGCTCCGCGGCCGGCGGCGACTCTGGTGCGGGAGCGGGAGTCGCCATTTTCCCGGAAGAGCGCCCAAACTTTCATCTTCTTCAACTTGCTTGGGTACTCCAAATTTAAGGAGCTTACTAAAGCCAAAAGAATAAGAGAAGAAAACCACAAATGTCTCCTCTAGCTTCCAGTAAATAAGATCATATCTCGAAGCAGAAATAAAGAAATTAACATGATATTATATAGCATGGAGACTTCAAAAGAATAATCAAATGTAAACAAATAAAACCACAAGTAAATGACAACGTCCAAATAATACATCTTGGATTTAAAACCTTGATTGTCTGCGGTCTGCCCTACAGCTCTGCCACTGGGTTGGATTGTATTTTCCTGTCCCCATCAGCAAAGAGTGTAATATTTTGACAAGAGTGCATCGCTCTGGAGCCCTCCCAATCCTCTAAACCTGCTGTGAAGAAGGCTTTGATAAATTCTGTAAGTTGCCTTTGTAGAAGGCTCTAATTAATGGTGAAGGCATGGGATGATATTTCAGCAGTCTGAACCCCAGAATTTGGGTTAACATTTCATAGGTGAAATGAGGATGGCAGTCATAGTGCACATGTCCTCTGGCAGTACTAATTCCAATAAAAGTCATATGCTTGTCACCACAAAGCTCTGGAAAGAAATGACATAAGACTTAAAAAATTCCTATGAGCTCCGTTTGAGAGTTTTGCCTCATTAGACTTCCATGAACAGAGTAACACAGAAAGCAGAGTAACTCAACAATGTTCATTTTGACTTTTTATTTAGTGTTTGTTTGTTTATTTATGGAATGTATATGTGCCTGTGGTGGTGTTCACATGGAAGTTATAGAACATCCTGAAGTACTTGGTCCTCTTTTTCTATTGTGTGTGACCTGGGAACCAAACACAGCTTATTGGGTTTGGTGATGAGTGCCTTAACCTGCTAAGCCATTTTGTTGCCCCCAAACAAGATTTTTCAGGTTTTAAAAATATGATGAAGCAGAGACTTGAAGAAAGAAATATCATGTTCTCAATGGACTTGGGAAGTAAAGCCCTTTATGGTCCCTCTGACCAGGAAAAAGAAATCTCATAATATACACGAGACTTTCTTTTCTGACTTCAGATTAGCAATGGGTTATGATGGTTTGAATAGGTATGGCCTCCATAGACTCGTGTTTGAATGCTTGGTCCATAGGGAATGTTACTATTCGGTAGTGTGGCCTTGTTGGAATAGGTGTAGCTTTGTCTCTGTGGGGGTGGGATTTGAGGTCTCCTACTTTCCAATTACACCCAGTGTGACACATTCTCCTTTTGCTGCCTATAGATTAAGAAGTAGAACACTCATCTCCTTCCCCAGCATCATGTCTGCCTGCATGTTGCCATGTTTCTCATCATGATGTCAATTTACTAAACCTCTGAATCTGCAAGCCAGCCCCAATGAAATGTTATCTTTTATAAGAGATGCTGTTGTCATGATGTCTCTTCATAGCAATAGAAACCTTAACTAAGACATGGATTAAAAGGGAACCTACTAATGGAGTTCAAGACAAATAATTCAACTGAGACCTCTCCTTAGATGGCTTAAAGACAAGCCTGAGGAATGAAAATAACTATTAATTATTCAGAAAAGATCTCTCTTTTCTCTCTGCCTCCCTATGTAATTGTATTGGTGTGCATGAGTGTATGTAGGTATGCACTTATGTGTACATGCAGGTAGAGGCTAGAGATTGACCTTGGGTTTTCTTCCACAGGAGCCATCTTATCTTGATTTTGAGGCAAGGTTTCTACTGACATGGATTCACTGATCAGACTAGGTTTGCCTGAACCCACATGTTTCTGGCTCCCAGTGCTGGCATTACAATCATGCACCATTAATTTTGGTCTGAGTTCTGGGAATCAGATTTAGTTCATTGTACATTCAGAGAAAGCACTTTATTAACTGGGTATGCTTCCCAGCCCTGGGAATTTTTTTTTCATGTAAGTACACCAGGAAACACAGTAGTTTACTCCTGTTCTACTTTTACTTTTGTTGCTGTGATAAAGCAAAACAAAACTCTCAGCAAAACCAACTTAGGGAAAGAAAGGATTTATGAATACAAGTAGTTATAATTTCCTGTCACAGTCCATCAGTGAAAGAATTCATGGCAGGAACATGAAAGCAGGTCTTTTTGCTATTTCACACATTACCACCATCCCGCAACTCACTCCACAGACAACGAACTACAACAGGAACCTGGAGAATGCTGATGACTGGCTGGCTCTCAGATCCATCATAAAGCTCTTTCATACAGCTCAAAACAACTTGCCCGGAGCTGGGCGGTGGTGGCTCACACCTTTAATCCCAGCACTCGGGAGGCAGAGGCAGGTGGATCTCTGGGAGTTCGAGGCCAGCCTGGTCTACAAGAACTAGTTCCAGGACAGGCTCCAAAACCACAGAGAAACCCTGTCTCGAAAAACAAAACAAAACAAAACAAAACAAAACAACAACAACAACAAAAAAAAAACTTGCCCGGGAAAGCAGTAAGTAACATCACCTACTGTCAATTCTTCACAGACGTGTTGATCAATCAATGTAATCTACACAATGAGATTGTGTAGATTTTTACTTCTCAAGTAACTTTCAGGATTTATCAAGTTAAGCTACCTATGACACCTTTGTAATAAAAAAAAAAAAGGGTTTTCTATTAAAGCATGTAGAAAAATGTCACCCATACTGCTGGTGGCTGCCAGAGGAGCAACAGGTGGCAACTAAAGTTCAAGGTGTGAGCCCACCAGTAGGAAGCTCTCTTATGGGTCAATCTCAGACAGGCAAGGCCCTGAAACAACAGTAGATGCCCACTGCCTGTAATGTAGTGTGTTTATCTCATGGGAACATCCCATTCTCCTTAGCAGTTTCACCTGTGGATTATTATGAAGATGATTCTTCCCTAAGCTGTTCTGTTTAATTGATAGTAATAATGTTAGCATATACAGAGTTTCAGTGAATCAAATAAGTACACGAAAATGTTAGACAGCTAGAGTTTATGATTTTAGCCTAAGGAACTGCATTAGATCACAGCTCATGTTAATGATTAAGAAAAACAGTTGTGTCCCAGGTGGCCCAGCTAGCTTAAATTCTTTTAACCTTAATGTTGGGAAATATATTCACAGGTTTCAAAGTGTATAATTGCTGAAACAAAACTTTGAAAATAATTTCAAGTCAAACTAAGATATTTTGTCAAATAGTTTTGAGGAGAAAAATGCAAGGAAATAATCTAAAGTTTTAGAAAGGCACATAGTTTAAGGTCAGGAAATGAGAACAAAGCAGCCCAATTATTACTAGCTCACATACTTTTCTTCTTAGGATCTGTTGAGGACCAAAGGTGGTGATTAAGTCTTTATACCCATTTCTGCCCTCAGTCTCTTGATAAAAAAATCTGATGATGAGTGGATATGTACCCTAAAGATTTAAAGTAGAGCTAACTGATTCTCTTTCCTAAATAAAAGTCTAGATTTGTGATTCCTATAAGATTTCTCATAAGATTACCATTCAAGGTGAGTAATAAAATAATTGACTGTTTCTTTGTAGCTGCAAAATGCAGTCTTCAAGTAAAAGACCTGACAGGGAAGAATAATTTGCTTGCCCACAAGTTGCTTAGGTATGAACATACATGGGTTTTTGGGATAACTTTTTCACCTGTAATACATAAAATGTTTAATCATGTAAGAGATATGGGAAACATGCTGTTTTTTACTGTTTGTTTAGTATTCATTACAATCATTCATTTGAAAGAGAACGTAACCATATTGCAATTTTTATATTTCCTAAAAGATTTTGCTGGGCTGTATAAGCTGTAAGGGAAAGAATAAATATAGAGTTAAAATGGGTTAGAAGAAAAACATCAAGAATGAGAGATTTAAAAGGGAAACATCAAGAATGAGAGAAGGAATAGAAAATGCAAAAGAAGAATAAAGAAAAGGTTTGAAGGAAACCATTAACAGAGTGTGTATTTTTCCCCTTAACCCCTCAGACAAAGAAGTCTTAGTATGTGCCACTGCCCCAGGCAGCACTACCATACCTGGTTAAAAGTTAGTTGACAAACATATTCAGAAAAAAATAAATTGAATGAAATTATTTAATATGACACTGAAGTATTCATTCTAATTGTGTTTCACATGATAAATATGTGGAGTAAAATAAAAACTGTATAGAAAGCAGACAGAAAAAGAGGGAAACTGAATTTCTAGGCATAAAATGATAATAGCAAAGGATAAAATTCACTGGAAGAAATAAAAAGAAAATCAGATTATGGAAATAAATCACAAATTATATCAGAAGGAAATAACCCAAGTAAGGCACAAACTGAAAGGAAATCTGACAAAATGAAGATAGCTCTGTCTCCCTTACTGTAGCTTGGACTGACTATAGAGCCCGGAAGGAAAGGTGTGAGGAAAGGGGCAGATACTAAATTTCAGAAAATAATAGTGAAAGTTTACCACTCTAAAAATGTATTTTATATAAATATGTGCATATGCTTGTTTACATGTATGGGTGTACACGTGAGGGTACACATGTGTGTAGAGGCCTTTCTCTTGGTCATTGAGATGGGGACTAACAAGTCATGTCGGGTCTCCCAGTGAATCCCTCGTCACTGGAATTACAGAAGGCCCTGGACACCGACTCAGTGTCCGTGTTCATTCTTGAGCTTCAGACTCTAGTCTTCACGCTGTCGCAGCACAGACTGCATCCACTGAGCTGATTTTCATTTACTATTTTTAATGAAACTTCTAAACACAGAGTAATGAAGCTCAGTGAGCCTCAGCCTCATTACAACAGAAAAGGCAAACACTTAGGGACATTACCATCCAATTCTCAGAGAATCTGATGGAGAGAAAATCTTTCTGGTTTCTGGCAGAAAAACTGTATTTCACACACAGTTGAACAAAGATAATGATTATTCAGGAAAAAAGGGATGGAATTTATCAAGGCCCTACTAAGACAGTTTCCACAGCAATGGATGTTACTAAATTTGGGATTCCTTATAATTATGGAACCAATTCATCAAGAA